AAATATTTGTTGCAACTTACTTAAGATTATAGGAATATTTTGTTTCATTTGCATTAGATGATCCTCCCGTATTACTGCTGAGCACAAGTCTTTACAGAAATGACTGAGTTCAGTTAATAACTTCCAGATAGGTTTTGGAAGTGCGCTGAAAGCAACTGGAAGAAGGTATTGCATAAAAATATGACAGTCGTGACTTTTCATTCCAAATAACTTCAAATGTTCCATAGCAACACATCTACTCAAATTGGAAGCATATCCATCAGGCATCTTTAGTGTCGTTCACACACATCTTCCTTTTGGCCATCATCTAAGGTGAACTTTGCTTTCGGTTTAATACATTTCCCATTATCATTCAATTGCAATCATTTCAATGGCAATATTCTTTCAAATCCATTCTTGCCTTCTCATTATCCTTTGTCCTCTCTTTGTTGTCCATAAAAGTATGAAAAACATTGTCAAAAACATTCTTCTCTATATGCATTACATCAGATTATGGCGAACTAAATTGGTCTTCCAATATGGCAAATCCCAAAAAATACTTTTTTTGGTCAAATTATGTGATTTTCCAAAGCCATAGAATTTGTGTGGACCAGATTCAGTGATCTTAGGAAACCCTCTCACTTTTCCTCACACTTTGATATCCAGTTAACCTGGGTGGAGGCCTAGACTTCTCTCTTTTCCTTTGTAAAAAGAATTTTTATTTCTTCTAAATTCATGATTTAGAGGCAGAATTGACAATTATAGTCAAATCAAGTAACTTTTCTTCCATTTTTCAAACTAAATGTTTTTGTATGTTCCATACAAATTAGGCATGCTAATTTACCAGTTGTATCCATCCTGACAACATGCCATAAGCTGGAAAATCATTAATTGTCCACATCAATGCCGCTTGCATAAGAAAGTTTTGTTTCTTTGATATGTCATAAGTTAGTACACCATCTGTCCATAATTGTAGCAACTCATCTATTAGTGGTTGAAGATACACATCAATTTTATTCTTGGGATTGTGAGAACCTGGAATGATCAATGTTAAGAACATATATGGAGCAGTCATACAAATATCAGGAGGAGTATTATAAGGAGTGACAATCACTGCCCAACAAGAATACGGTGTTGCCGACTGACTATAAGGAGTAAAACCCTAATAACAAAGAACGAGCCTAACATTTCTAGGCTCTTTAGCAAAGCCTGGATAAATTTGATCAAAATTTTTCCATGCTTTGTCAATCTGAAAGGTGGGACAACACACCTTCTTCTCTGCGATTTTCATTGTGCCACCTCATGTTCTCGGCAGATCGCTTTGAAGCATATAGACGTTGAATCCTAGGAATATGTGGCAGGTAGTGCATAGTCTTGTGTGGAATCTTTTTGCTATCCTTTCTTCCCTTAGTTTCTTTGTAACGAGGTTCTTTACAAAACTTACATTCTATTATCTCTTGATCGGCCTTGTAATACAACATACATCCATTAACACAACAATCTATCTTTTGACTAGTTAGACCAAGCCCTGACACTAACTTCTTTGCCCGATAGTGATCAGGAGGTATCTTATTATCTGGATAACTTGTGTCCTTCATTAGTTGTGCCATTGCATCAAAAGAGCCATGGGACATATTGTATTCATATTTAATACTCATCATTCTGACTGCCGTAGACAACTCTGAATATTTACATCCATGCCATAAGGGTCCTTGAGCTGAATTCAACATTTTATAAAATTTTGTTGCATCCATATTCGGAGACTCTTCTACATCTTTTTCAACATGATGCTCAAATTCTACACCAGCAGCATCATGTGATATCTATTTATTTGTTCGAAGTGTTCCCTTAGAATGTCGCTTTGACTGCTTGGAGGAATGTCAAATGTACAGTCTTGATGACTACTAGAGACACCTACATCAATATGTTCATTCAAATTAATAGGAGGTGCTTCACGTCCAATACCAATAACCAGGTGTGAATCCTTTCTTAAAAACATGTACATTAGCTTCAAACTTCATATTTTACAAATCTTACAAGGACACCTTATCACTTTTTCGGACAAGAACTTTTGTTGACTACAAGCAAATTCAATAATTTCATTCATTCCATTTATGAATTCATTTGTATATGCTGATCGATTTTGGAAGAAGTCTATTTACCATCCATTTTCGATGATCGGGAATTTTCATTTTCTGAAGAAAAAAGTAAATATGTTTAATCATATTAACAGAGAAACAAAAGGTTAACAATTTGATACTTTGCACTGATTTGGGTATCCTACAGATTGAAAGAAAGTTCATTTTTTTTCATTTTCTACATCGAGACACTATATCACAAGAACATAAATTAATTTAAAGCCAAACATCAATATATAAGTAAATTGGCATATGGGTCAAAGTTTAAAATTATTTTAATTTTCTAGATTACATAATTAAACTACATAGACAACTAAAACAGATTAGTTCATACAAAATCAAACAAACAGAGAATAAAAATATAAAATATTACGGCGTTTGGAGATTAACCTCAATTTTTACTTCTGATAATGTTGCTTGTGTTTGGATCCTCTTCCGTAATGCACAATCAGAATGGGAAGAGTTGCTTTGTTTTTAATAAAATAAAGATAGTAATTTTGATGATTAATGAGTTATCTGGTGGGAACTTTAGGAGGGAAGTTTTCAGCTTTTCACTTCTTTATTTACATTTATTAATAACACTACTTAAGTTGGACATACACTTTAAGTATATATATATATATTATAAGTAAATAAAAGAATTTTCTAATATATAAAAATCTCAGATGGTCTTGTAGAAAATATTTTTAAAATATCTTAAACAATTTAGACTTCGTATAATAATTTAGAGCTTAGAGCATAAATAATTATTGTTCGACTGATGCCTTACGAAATGTGTCGAACATATTATTTATAGGTATGCATTAATCAATAGAAAAGCCAATAATCATCTCCAAATAATATTGAAATGGATTTATTGATTGAACTAAATTTAACCGTCCTTTTTACCTTTTTTTTTAATTATAAAATTGAAGTTATCTAAAAAATGAATTGTCCAACCATCTATTCAAGAAGATTGTTGTAGTTTCCATAATTACAAGAATTTCTCATGATTCGATTGGTGTGAAGATTACCAACTCTTAAGTTGTATCCTCCAATATATGATGCCTTACAATTATGTTGAATTTATTAATCAAAAGAAAATGTCTACTCGAGCGTCCTATTGTATTGTGGCCAATAGCCAAAGTTTGAAAATGTGTCAGTTAATATACATTACTTTTGTTGCACGTATTTGTTTGAGAATGTGCCAGCTAAATTAAAATAATGTCAAATGTATCAAAATGTCTTTTAATTTTGCGGTCTTAAACATGCCACGTAGAAAGTTAAAGTTAAAGTGTTGCCAAAAATGAAAAGGGGTCATTCTTTGTTAAACAAATTAAAAAGGAAATAAGAACATTTTTTTAAACGGAGGGAGTATTAATTTATTTATTTTTTCAGTTTAAAACGATTATGAGTGTGTATTCTAGTCCAATAAATGACTCTTTTCATAAATAAATTAATTTAAAATACTAAAATATGAATACACATTATTTTATAAAAATATTGTCACTCGGCCATTTTAAATAAATATTTTAAATTATTATTATTTTGACTAATTATGTTAGTAATTGTGACTTAATTGCTAATTTATCCTTTTATATATATATATATATAT